ACTGAGACTGAAAGCAGCAGGCTGCAGCTGCTGCTGCCATTTGCAACTGCAGCATAGTGGATGTCAAATCTTGGTGGGTCAGTGTCGAGTCATGGGCTTTTGTGCTCCCCAATGTCTCTTTGCTGATATACTCCCATATCTTTCTATTATATTTGTGGGTCTCACAACTAACACTTCTTTCTTTTCTTTTTTATCGGTTTATGCTCTTTCTATTACTAATTCTATTAAATTTTTAATATATTGGTCTAAGTGCACCGTCACTTTTAAGCCCGTTATTTAAAATATATTTCCAATTTATAATTTATTTAAAGATTAGCCAATTCATCCAAATTTCAGGACTAAGTATCCTGAATTTGGAAATTCAAGACTTAGTGTTCTGAATTTTTGAGCTGCAAATTTGAAAATCACGACAAGTGTGTCATGAATTTTGAACTACTAATTTGAAATTCAAGACATAAAATTTGAGCTTGTGGACACAATTTTTGAACTTTATGACAAGGTTTAAATACATTGTAAACTGTGGATATATTTTAAATAACATGCTTAAAAGTCGTTACCTGGTGTCATTTCGCTATTTGCTTACCCGTAAAAACATTGACACTTTTTATGTAATAAAATATATTTAATTCTAATATTCCCTTCGTTTCAAATTAGATGAGATACTTTTTTTTTAGTTTGTTCCAAAATAAATGATACATTTCTAAATTTGAAAATAATTCAACTTTAAACTCTTCATTTTACCCATTTTACCTTTAATGAGAAGCTTTTATAATTATACAAATATTATGGCCCCACAAAGCTTTTATCCCTTAAGTTTTTAAGACCACAAATTTTAAAAATCTTCTTTATCTTTTGCTTAAATTCCATGCGGAGTCAAACTACCTCATATAAATTGAAACAGATGGAGTATTTTTTTTAAAATTTCTATTGATGTGCTCTTTTAAGAATAAAACGTGTTTAAGATCATAATAGTTTTCATAATATTTTTGATGTGATGTATATATATTTAACTTATTTGTAAAGATAGAAAAGTAGGAGTAATGTAAATGCATGGTCTAAGCACGATCTCAAGTTGACCCTTTGCCTAAAGTTTCATTGGGTTGTTTAGTAATTTCCGTCTGCACTTTTTATTTTAACTTTAAAATTTAAAATATCAACTGCATTATTTGTAATTACTCTTTGTTAGTTCTTTGTACCCCAAAATAAGAAATACATATGTTTAACAAAAAAAAGAACTTTTTCACACTTTGGCTTCCAAAAAATAAATAAATATCTAAATATCACCCTATTAACTGCTATTTTGATTAACAAATCTGTATTGTACAATTTAAAGTAGAATCTAGAGTAGTAAATTCTATGTGGGATGTGGAAGAGTTCACGGGTACCATCCATATTTACACATAAAAATGATTTACGTACATTTATTTGTTGCTGTTGGTGTCACTCCCATTAGACCCCTTTCTTTCAGTACTGACTTTGAAACGACTCAACATGTCAAAGCCTGAAACAAAACCATCTTACCACCTCTAGTTCCTAAATTAAGTGGTTATTTATTTTAAGGAGTCAAGTTATATACTGATAATGTAATTGTTTCTTTTACATTATTAGTGTATTCTCTTACATGTGATAGCAAGTTAATTAGTACCGTTATTTTATGAGATTATCAATTCATGCTATCAAGAGATGTCATTTTAATTACTTAATAATTGATTTGATTGCGTGAATGTTTTTTGCACTTCTATTGCATAGAAGATAAAATCTAATTTTAGTGTTCTACACTTTTTTTTTTTCATCGTTCGTAAAATATCTAATCAAAGTCCTTTTTTCTCTAATCAGTTATATTAAATACGTAATCATATCACTTCATGTAGAAGCTTAATTTGTAAAAGATAGCAAACTTTATTAATTTAACTATATTTTTAACATGTATTTTCACGTGTATTAAATTACTGAAAGCATGTAAAAATTCTTTATGTAACACGTGAGGACTAAATTCATTTTCATAAGTCAAACATATGATTGTTTTCTTTTTTATGATTGTGATGCGTAGAGTTAAACTTAGGTTTCATGCAACTCTAATACGATATTGAAAGCTTAAGTTCTTGTAAAGAGTAAGGTGCGATTTCTCCTAGCCTCATTCTTATAGAAACAATAAATTTCAATTCTGATATATATTGGAGATTGAATGTACTTTTATACTGGGTAAAAACAAATCTTAAATAATATGTAATAGGATTGGAGTCGATCGTGATATACTCGCAAGTACTTTATCTTTCATAATATAAGCAAACTAAGATGATAATTAAATTGCAAACTAAGATCATAATCTTTTCAAATGAAATTTTTTGTGAAGCAGCCAGACTTGAACTAGAATATGTGTTCAAGTATGATTGTGAATATCATTCCTTTTTCCCACCTTCACTTCCAATTATTTCTGAATTAAGGAAAATGAATGAGAATAAATATAAATGTCATATAGCTCGTCTAGAAGGATTAATTGTAACCTTCAATATGACATTGAGTAATGAAAAATATGTCAAGGATTATTATCTGTTTATTTGTGCCTTTTTTGTTGGACAATTTGGGAAAGAGGAGTATACTTAATCGATCATGAGAATTTGATCGATTAAGTGGAGGAAAGTTTCTTTATTTGCTTCTCTCAAGTTCACTTGTATAAAATAGCTATAGTATGTAGGTCATAGGTGTTATTAATACGTAGTATCCTAACACGTCCCTCGTTTAGTAGACATATCATAATTTAATTCTAAACTATACAAACTCCTTACATAATCTCCTAAATACACGAACTAATAAAATCCACGTAGAGGAATGTAGGACATAAAAGAGTATCATAATTTAAATACTCTTCATCTCATAGGACATAAAAGAGTGGAGTAGTGCTTCATTTAGTGCAAGATGTTACAAAAACAAGTTTGAGAACTTTTTGGAACGCATTCTCTATTCTGCTAACAAAGTCCATGTTGATCTAGAATGGAGTTAATTGTGCATTTGATATTTAATTTGCAGATGATGGTGGTGTATCATCAGATGAAGAGTTGAGTTGTGGGGAGGTAGAAGGACAAGATGCATCACATAGAAGTGAGGATAATGAACTAAAGGACAGACTCCTACGTAAGTTTGGGAGTCACCTAAGTAGTCTAAAATTGGAGTTCTCAAAGAAAAAGAAGAAAGGAAAGCTACCAAAAGAGGCAAGGCAAATCTTACTTGCATGGTGGAATGACCACTATAGATGGCCTTACCCTACGGTTTGTACTTCTTATTTTATCCTCTTTTACTACATTAATACCCTTTTTGTTCTTGTTGTTCGGTATCTTTAAAAATGTAGCTGGATGCGTGTTGTATCCTCTAAATATAGCGTATTTTTGGAGGTTTCGACGTTGGTGCGCCAACAATTTAGAGAGTTCGAGCAACATAGCATCAAATTGTTTTTCTCGTAGTTCTATGAGTTTAACGTTTATACACTGATAATTTGAAAAATAACTACACAATTAGTTTATAATGAAAAAACTCTTTAATTTGTCGAACTTAAATCCTAGTTCTGTTGGTAATTGATAACATGCCCTTGATAAGCATGCAAAACTAATCTTTTCAACTGAAAAAACTATATCATGTTATTAGTGCATATTTTCACTATTGCTTCGTGGCATAGACTTTTTCTTGAACATGTCAACGTAATAAGTCTAAGGAGTTTAGAAAATAGACGAGTACAGACAGTAGTTTGGCTAGTCTCTCGTTGACAAATTTAAAAATCATTGGTCTAATTTCACTCACTTTTTTGAAGTTTCGTTTTGTTTGTTTCTTATAAAACCCTTATATTATTCTTGCTAATTAAGCCCTCAAGAGGAAGGGTGGGGCCAATTTATTTTTCTCCAATATATATATATATATAATTATGTGGCTGATGTTATATATAGGAAGCAGATAAAAATTCACTAGCAGAATCAACGGGACTAGATCCGAAGCAGATCAACAATTGGTTTATAAACCAAAGGAAGAGACATTGGAAACCGTCAGAGAATATGCAGTTAGCTGTTATGGATAATCTTAGTGGCCAATTCTTCTCAGATGATTGAGTCGAAATTGTATCCCCGATTTCGCTCTATATATATATATATATTTGGATAATTACTAGGAAAAAAAAAAGATACTTTGCTAATACTGATTAATCCATGTCTCTATAGAAATAATGGTAGAGATTAATGTTGAATTCAGCTTCATGTAAATATTCAAGCTAACTGCGCAAATGCTTACCCAATATCAGAAAATGTCTACTCTTTTTTTTTTTTTTTTGGATTACATGAGTCTTGCTCGTATTAGAATGAGAATGAGAACGGAGGCTAAAATGGTCGTAAGAGATGCTTTGCATTTTAAAGCTTGGATCATCTTTGGATTGGCTATGTGGATATGAGTTCTGTCAATACATTACTTAAATTAAAATTCCTTCTTTTTAGAGATATTGGAATTCACCAAAACTCTCTTTACAAGAGTACTCTTGCTAGCTAGGGACATGTAATTTCTAGTGAAATAGGCCAATTTGTCTGAAATAAACTATGAGTGTTCACTTTATTCCTACTAGCATACAAAAGCTCCCAACTTCTAAGTCCTAAATATATGTATTAGTGTGTATATATACATATGAACCTCACATCGGTGGGATAGGACCGTTCAGCCTTGCAACTAATCGCTTTTAATTTTCTGCCTTCTATTTAACAAACTCCGATCCTGCGTAAATGCATAAATATTGCGTAATTCTTTGTGCACTGTTTGTCTTTTACTTATTTATTTAACAAACTCATCTTCTCAATAACCACCCCCAAATAGAGTAGACTCATGGTGTGTGTGTGTATATATTTTGATGGAATGAATGAACTCTCAACGGTGAGGCCAAAGACCTTCGCACAAAAATAAGCTGAGGTATATCATACCTAAGTCTAATACTAGGCTGACATCTGTCAAGATGGTAATAACCTTAGGCAATGTTAAATACTACAATTAACTTGGGATAGGATATGTATGTCCTCCATCTTCTCATCTTCAGCATATCCGCAATGATCAAGGAGTCGATCGAGTTCAAGTATGTATTCTTGAAAACCATTCTGCAAACACCATTGAATTCCAAATTTCGCAGCTAGTGCCTCTGCTTGGTTGTTGGTAGCCCACGAAATTGGCATGGAGAAAGCCATGATCATCGTTCTCTGCTCAGTTCTAATAATGCCTCTAATCCCAGCCTTTCCTCTGGCAAAACTTTCATCAATGTTGATTTTAACTATGCCATTGGGAGGCCTAATCCACTTAACTACTTTCCATATGGGAATTGGTCTAAACCTCTCAACTATATCACAGAGCTCACCTCAAGTATTTCCCAATGAGTAATTTGGAAAAGCCAAACTTGTAGCTAGTTTAACTGTCCACCATATTTGATGCTCCATTCTTTTGTGCCACATCTTTTTCTGTCCACCATATTTACACGAACACCTTGCCTCTATAAATCCCAAAAAATTACAACAGGAATTATTTGCATGACTATTTTATGTACCGCATTTTAGACTTAGTTCTCCACCATTTTCTTAGTTGTCATTTACAGATTCATCTCTGTACGGGATACCCAAAGCACATCTAAAGAATTTCCATAAATATACTACAGCTTCACTATCCATAAAAACATGATGGATAGTTCCTCTCTTTTTGCCATTGCAACAGAAACACATAGACACGGTATTTATTCCAAACCTTCCAATTGTGTCATCGAATGGTAACTTCTTTTAGACTAGTCTCCACACCAAGAATGATATTTTAAAGGGTAGTTTAGAATGCCAAACCTTGCTTCTGATGCTGTCTCTTTGCCTGTGTTGAGTTAGTTGATAGATAGCAGAACTAGTGGAGATTGTCCATCCACTCATGGTTCCCATATAGCATAATGCTCCTGATAATTCATCCCAATAGGTATGTTGGCAACCAGCTGAGCAATATCCATGAGGAGTATATCTACTAGTTTTTCGTAGTTCCATGTACCTTCTATGATATAGTCTTGAACAATATCCTTAGCAGCTCTAGACCGATTAGGAATTAGGAGAGCTCCCTTAGTTGTCCAATTTTCCCACCAAAAATTAGTTCCACCTCTCTGCACATTCCATATGATATGTCTTTCCACCTTGTCTCTGACTTGCATCAGTTTTCCTCATGCGTGCAATTGTTTAGCCACTTTAGCCTTAGTTATTGGGTGACTTCTGCTACAATATTTAGACTTAATGAATGAGGACCATAATGAGTGTTGTGTCGTAAAGCTCCACCATCTCTTGTATGCAAATGAGTCTTTTCAGTCCAATGCCCCCTTCTTCCTTTGACCAACATAAGTTATCCCAAGAGCTCTAATGATATTTATCTTTTTCTTCTCCAACTCCCCAGAAAAATCGTACCAAGTGCTTCTCTATCAACTTGAAAGTCTCTTTAGGAGGGTGCATTGCCGCAAGGGTATATGTAGGGACATCTTGAAGAACATGTTCGATCAGAGTGATTTTGCCACCATAAGACAGAAACTTCCCCTGCCATCCATGTATTTTCTTTATGATTTTATTCACCAAATCATCAAATAGTGGCAGTTTCTTCCTTCCTACATATAGAGGGCACCCCAGGTAGGTGAATGGAAACTGCTTATTCTTGAAGCGTCAATCATTCTATTTATCCTTGAAGTTGAGGACTTTGGTGAAGTACAGAAGAAACTCTTATCTTCATTGACCTTCTGGCCTGAGATTTTCTCATAAAGTCTTCATCTGCCTCATGACAAGTTCAAGGATTTACGTTTTCCTCCACTGAAGATGACTATGTCATCTACATAGGCGAGGTGATTTATTTTGGGACCTCTGATGTTCATAGAGAAAGAAACAAATTTAGGGTTATCATACATTATATTCAGCAATCGCGACAGGACTTCTGCTCCCAATATAAACAGGGAGGTGAAAGGGGATCTCCTTGCTTCAATCCTTGAGAAGAAGTGAAGAAGCCCTTTCTTGCACCATTAACTATGATTGAGTACCACACGTCTGAAACCAGCCTCCTTATATCAGTCAGCCACTATTCAGAAAAGCCAAAGTTCCTGGACACTGAGATTAGAAAGTCACAAGAAAGCCTATCACATGCTTTGGCCATATCCAGTTTGATCACTGGATTACCACATGTGTTTGGCTGAGAAATACCATGCACTATCTCTTGAGCTAACAACATATTAGCTGTAATAAGTCTGCCATTCACAAATCCACTCAGATTTTTTGAAATCAATCTCGGCAACAATGGATGAGGTCTCCTAGCCAATACTTTCAAAATTATCTTAGCAGAGAAGTTGCTGAGACTAATTGGCCTCAGTTCTGCAAAGTTGGAAGGAGACTGTACTTTGGGAATCAATACCAGGCATGTATGAGTGTAGAACTTAGTCAGCATTTTCCCTTTGAAGAAGCTCTGAACAAATTTAACCACATCTTCTTTGATAATTCCCCAACACTTCTGGTAAAAGGTCCTATTAAATCCAGCTGGTCCTGCGGAACTTGTAGCACTCGTATCAAAAATATTATCTTGATTTCACTTTCCTCAGGAACTTGTGATAGTTGTAGATTGTCTTCCTCAGTGATAAATTGCCTGATGCAAATCAAAACATTCTCGTCTACATTGACAGGAGGAAGGTTGAATATCTTCTGAAAATGCCTCACTGCAGCTTTGGCAATTCTCTCTTCCCCTTGGATCTAATTACCTATATGGTTCTTTATTTTATGAAGATATAGCCTTCTCCTTTTGTCTTTAATGACATTGCTGAAGTACCTACTGTTACAGTCACCTTTCTTAAACCATCTGACTTGGGTTTTCTGTTTTAGAAGAGATTCTTGTATAGCCATCCATCTGACATACTCTGCTCGTGCTTTGTTTAAATCTTCTCTAGATTGTACAGTGTTAAATATTAAATCTAGAACTTCCAGAGATTGTATTGCCTCTTTCTATTCCTCCCTCTTCAGGTATACATTGCCAATTACATTCTCTGACCAGTAACTTAGTCTTCTTCCCAGAATTTTGAGTTTCTGTTGTATTATCCACATAGTATTTACAAGAATTTGAGCCCATACTTTCCTAACCAGATCGTAGAAATCTGGTTGTTCAACCCAAAAGTCCAGGAATTTAAAGTACTTTACAAATTTCTTTTGATCTATTTGACACTTCATAAGCAAGAGCCTATGATCAGAACCAGATCTGCTGATGTGCCTGACAACGGTGCTTTGAAATTTCTGCATCCAATCATCATTAAACATTCTATCTAATCTCTTCCATATTCTCCTCCTAGGACTCCAATTATTACACCAGGTAAAGGTAGAACCCACATACCCTGCATCTGTAACACCACAACTATCCATGCAAGCTGCAAAATTAAAGCTCTTGCTAACTCTATGTGGTCTACCCCCCTCTTCTCACAAGGATCCAAAATAACATTGAAATCCCCTCATATTCACCAAGATCCATTAATCTGAGATTCAAATTGTACCGGACTATCCCATAAATCCATTCTTTCTTCTGCTGTGCACTTAGCATAGACTATTGTAATGTACATTTCATTTCCTCCGTAAGCATCCTTCAAGTTAATAGTGATTTTTTGATCATCTTCCCAAACCATATTGGCATTGAAGTTTCTAGACCAGAAACGCCAAATTTGTCCTATATCATTGGACAAACAATGATCAAACCCCAAGAATCTTCTATAACCTTCAACTTTGTCTTTCCTAACAAAAAGTTCAAAGATGGCAACAAACTATAAATTATTTATATTTGTACAAGTTGTTTCAACCTGTGATTGGCTTTTTTGGAGCTTATCCCTCTTATATTCCAAAAGATGGAATTACTCACAAAAGAGTTTGGAAAGGTTGGTTTGTATCCTTCCTGTTGATACCCAATTTTTCCCTGTATAATTTTATATACAAAATACCTTTCAAATAGCATAGGAATGCATATATAAGTATGTCCAAGAATTTTCCTATTTTTTCTTTAATTTTTTAAAGATTTTTAAACCGATTTTATTGCCCTATTTCACCAGTAAAAAACCAATAATTATTCCCCAAATTATCATTTTTGATTCACTTATTGTATTCTCATATTTATACCAAAATATAGCTAAGGTATGTTTTGCACATTTTTTTACAAATTTATTTAGTATTTTTAAAGCTAAATTGCATATAATTGCAATATTAGCCTATTTTAAGAATTAATTGTGTTTATAATTACAAAATTGATTCCAGTACTTTTTATTTAATATTTACATATTATTAGTAAATTTAGTGCTTTTAATTTTGTTTCCAGAAATTATTTTACTATTTTTTATAAATAAAAAGGGAAAAGTGGCTATTTAAACACTAGCCCTACTTATTTCAATTTTAGCCTAAATCAGCCTCCCAATTAAACCCAATTTCAATCCCAAATTGCCCGCCCCAATTCTTAAATTACCCGCCCCTGACCCAATTAAATACAACCCGCCCGGCTCCCCGTTTAATCCAGGTCGTTGATCAAAATGATCAACGGTCACGCTTCATTCTTTTCTTTTTTAATTTACCAACCCCCCTTAACCCTAATTATTTTCACCAGCCCGCCGCCTCTGAAACCCTCCACTCTCTCAAACTCTCTCGAATATTCTCAAACCCTAGCCGCCTCTTACCATCTCCGCCCTGAAATCCACCGGAATCTATGGCCTCCAAGGCTACGAGAGTCCTACACCGGCCTCCTATGGCTCATACGTGCATGATCTCTGAAGATTCAAGGCCTGACCTTGAAGGTTCATACCCAGACCTCTGTCGATTCGGAGTTTCACGGTCATCTTCGGCGTTGCTCCGGCGCACCATGGTTGCTCGAGCCTGACTTTGACCTCTCCGACTTAGATCGGTGACCTTTCAAAGCCTTTCTCGTCTCTAGGGTTCTTCTGAAACCCTAACCCTTCGAGGTTTTCTCCGATTTCTTTAGATTCGTTGTGTATCTACGCTTTCCCTGAGCTTTCAAACGATTTCCCTACCTTTTCTTTCAAAAATTACTTTCAAAACCTTTCTTTTCCGATCTAGGGTTTTCTGAAAATGTTCAAGTGTTTTCTGACTTTCTTTTCTTTCGTGTGTATTTGCCTCTGTGTTGTTCTTGTATTCTCTTTTACCATGTTTCTTATATGCTTCTCTTACTGTGTTTTCCTATATTATGGTCTCGTATGCTTTTCTACTGTGCTCCTATGTTTCTCTTCTATCACGTTCTTGTATGTTCTTCTACTGTGTTCTCGTATGCTTTTCTACTATGTTCTGGTATTTTCTTCTACCATGTTCTGGTATGTTTCGCCTACTATAGTTTTTACTGTGTTCTTAATGTTTTACTATTTTCCTTCTACTGAACCTTGTTTAAGTTTGTTCTAAAAAGATCCTCTTAAGCATGCTTTCCTACTGTTCTTAATAGTCTTTTCTCATTATGCTTCGAATTAGTTTCTTCCACTCTGTTTGCTTCGAACCATTCTACTGTGTTTGCATGTTACTTTGCTATCATGTTTCTCATGAGTTCTGTTGCTGAAAGAAGCATGTTAGAAGTTTCAGTTCTTTTCTGAAACCCCTAAACATGTTTTCGATTCAATTGCTTGCCCTCTCATCTTTGCTTCGTGATTTGCTTGTACTAGGGTTTTTATTTTAGAACCCCTAACTCTTTCAGACCAACTTCGAGTTTGGACATCCGTGTTTGCATATGATTCTGGATTTTTACTAAACTCTTCTACACTGGATTTTCTATTGATGACATGACAATTTTCTTTCATGCTTAACATGTTCGTATGCTCCTTATATTTGAGGAACTTCCCTTTAAAGTGGTTTTCAAACTTGTGATTAATTCAGAATCCCTTCTAAATAGGTCTAATTGATTCCCTTTCCATTGTTTGTGATTTCCCTTAAGTTAAAAACCTTTCCCATCTTTTTGACTCGGTTCATTCATACAAATCTCAGACCTTGTGATGTACTAACTGTTAATTGATTTCCTTACCTTATTTGTACAAACCGTGTACTTCAGAACCCTGTCCTTAAATAACCCTTTTATGTATGTGCCCTTAATTGCATGTTGTGCACAAAGTGTTTATTCAATTTCTTTCCTTAATTGGTTTTCACCCGTTTGAATCTGAATCCCTTAATTAAAGGGAGTCTTGTGTAATTGATTTACATTTCTTCAACTATTTTCATACATGAAAATCCCCTCTTATTTGAAACTCTTACTTGCCTATGTGTTATTTGTATTTAAGTCACAACAATAGTTGGGCCGGGAACCACACTAGTGGATCCTGAGGGGTGCCTAACACCTTCCTCTTGGGATAATTTCAAGCCCTTACCCAATCTCTGGTTACTTGAATCAAACCCTTCTTAGTGTCCTAATGCACTTAAATCATTAGGTGGCGACTCTTCAATCCAAAACCCAATTCCCAAAAGGGAACGAGTTGTCTTCCCAAATGTCATAAACCCGATTTCGCGAGAAAAAGGGGGCGCGACAGCATGGCGACTCTGCTGGGGATATTCTTTTAGGATTTTACCATTTCAAGCTATTACTGTGACTTTACATTTCTTATATGCCTTTATTTGTTTAATCCCTTAAAGCATTTAATTCCTTCTTCCATTACAAAACTAACTTGTCTTTTGTTCCTTTCTCTTATTTCTTTTACTGCCTTCCTTTACTGCATTCCTTTATTACTGTTTTAAATTATTGTAATTATTATTTTATGAACGTGCAAATACGTGACAACTTTTTAATTATTGCATAAGCATGTTTTCAACATCATATTCCACTCGTGCCAAACAAAATACCATAGCAACGCTTATAATGAGTGGTTGCGCCCTTCCAGTATTATCATCCCCTAAATTCGGCAAAGGCATATTTGTGGTAAAACCAGTCGATCAACGGTGTAGTCGACGGGTTCCGCGCCTTTCCCTCTTGAGTTGTCCGCTCAAGGGTACCAGTCTAATACCCCATAGAAACCTTACTCTGTTTAATTGTGCATACATCATGGTCAAACCTAGCCAAGTCAGTTATGTTGTCCGCATAATGACTCTTTAAGATAGTCTTGTCCAAATTCCACTGGGTTTTCCCAAAACCCAAACGGACACTACCACGTTTTGTGTATTTATTTGGAGAACTAAAATGCTTTTATGCCAATTGTTGATATTAAATAGTCGAGTCTGGTGAGGGTAAGGTCCTAACCTTTTTGTCTTGCAGAAATATGAGGCACGAAATCCCCAGATTCGGCATGGTCACCAACATCCACCCAAGATTGCTAAGCTGGTGAAAAGATTTACACTCTAGTGACCAAAATCGTTTCTCAAAAGGGTCAAAGATTGTCAGAATGCTGAGGGAAATGAAGGCGGACATCTAGACAGAGCTTACTTGCTACTAGGACTGCACGAGCTAGGGGAGCTGTTCGATGGAGCCAACAATGCCGAGTCTGGGGAAGTCCCTCTGGGACCAAATAGATAGGAATTTCCATTTCCGCTTTATAAGATGTAATAAGGCCGATGGCCATTAGTGATTTTTATTTTCTTGTTATTTAGTGTCGTTTTGGGATTCGTCTACCTTTTATCAATGAAATGAGGCATTTAGCATTCTAAGTTCTCCAAATTAACTTGTCGCTAGGCCTACCTCGGGCACAACGAGGTCCCCAAAATTAGGACGCGCTTTATATTTCAGAACTACGTGTTTAAATATTGCAGCATTTTTCTAATGATCCGCACTAACTTGTTACCTTTTTGTTTTTACTTTTTGTTTATTTATTCCCCTCCCCAAAGGTTAGTTAGTGAACTCTGGCAACATCATCATATTTTATGAGATCCAAGGGCCCTCCACCTACTCCTCCTCCCAGTCCTGTCAGACATAGAAACAAAGGAAAAATGGAAGATTCGAACAACTCAGCTGAACGGGTAGAGGTCACTCATGGTACTCTAGTTCCCAAGGAAAATGCATCCCAACTAGAACAAAAGCTGTTGAAGTTTCAGGAAGAACCTGATCAAGTCCGGAATCTGGCAAATCTGTCATTTTCCCTCACCACTCCAGAGGTTACTTTCCCAAAGACTCAGAATCCCGTACCTCCGCAAAACATCCCAAAGCAACAAAACCATCCCGCTCCTCACCACCACTGCAATACTTGCCATACCTCAAATAATACCTCACTGATCATCCCAGAACTCCAGAACTCCACAAATGACCACTGTCACACCCAACATAATACCCCCATCTATGTGGAGACTATGCCACACTCCACCCAGCCCATCTCAAGCACACCCGAGTCCGATGATAAGGACTTGCTCATCAGAAATCTGGCCGAAGAGCTTAAAAAGTTAACTAGCAGAATTCAAGGCGTTGAAGGTAGTAAGGGAATTGAGGGGCTAAACTATGAAGATCTTTGCATACAGCCCGATGTCGAACTGCCCGAGGGGTACAAACCTCCTAAGTTCGAGATGTTTGATGGTACAGGGGATCCAAGGGTCCATTTGAGAACATACTGTGACAAGCTGGTCGGAGTGGGAAAAGATGAGAAAATCCGCATGAAGCTTTTCATGAGGAGCCTGAAGGGAGACGCTTTATCTTGGTACATTAGCCAAGATCCAAAGAAGTGGTCGAACTGGGCAAGCATGGCGTCTGATTTTATGGACAGATTCAGGTTCAACATAGAGAATGCACCAGATGTGTTCTATATTCAAAACTTGAAGAAGAAACCCACGGAGACCTTCCGTGAGTATGCTACTCGATGGAGATCAGAAGCTGCTAAGGTTAGGCCTGCCTTGGAAGAAGAGCAAATGAACAAATTCTTCGTTCGGGCCCAAGACTCACAGTATTATGAGAGACTGATGATGATCGAAGGCCACAAATTTTCTGACATTATCAAGCTAGGAGAAAGGATCGAGGAAGGCATCAAGAGTGGTATGGTTACGAATTTTGAAGCCTTGCAAGCTACCAATAAGGCTTTACAGTCTGGTGGTACGTCTAAGGAAAGAGACGTAGGTGCTGTAATGGTTGCACAGAGGACCAAATCCCCTATCAAATACCAAACATACCCAATACCTCCAATCACATACCAGCCTGCCCCAAATTACCAAGCACCCTCACCCTCTTACCATACTCCACCACCCACTTATCAGTCATCCCCACCACCCGCATATCAGCCCACTTCACCCAAATACTCCCAACCAGCACATGTTTACCAAGCCTACAACACCCAACCATCCCACTATCAATCACCTCCCCCACGTCAAAACTTCGCTAGACCTCGACCAAATTTTGACCGCAGGCCTCCCAAACAGTATACCGCCATTGCTGAACCAATTGACCAGCTGTACAAAAGGCTCAAAGCTGCTGGTTATGTCACCCCTATCCCTGCTATAACCCCCGAAAACCCTTCTCAGTGGCTCAAACCAAATAAATCCTGTGCATACCATTCCGGCATGAAAGGACATACCATTGATGAATGCCGCTCTCTGAAGGATAAGATCCAACTCTAATTGACAACAAGATTATTGTGGCAAAGGAACCTGCTCCAAATGTCCGCAATAACCCTCTGCTAGACCACAAGGGTGGAGGCGTTCACATGATCGAGATAGAGGACGACTGGGACCCCAAAGGATCAATCGCTTTAATCACAGAAGGCGACGATCCAAAGAAGCCAGTAGTCACCCTTAATCCGATTGTGGTCCAGATTCAGCCTTCTGGGGACGCCGAGGTAAATATGTCCATGACGCTTGAATTTGAAGCACCACCATCTGCAAAGACGCCAGCACCATTTGAGGTTGAATTCGTGTCTCCAGCAAAGGCACCTACACCATTCGAGATTGCAGTTTTACTGCCCAAG